TTTCTGAAATCCTAGTGGTCATCATCATAGCCCTGGTCACACCCAACTCTTAATGCTAACACGAGCAGCATAAGCTACTCACCCTCTTAGAGGACAGGGTTATGTCTCTCGAAACTATGTTTTATTCGATTTTTTTCTTTAAGCTATTAACAACCAGTGGAGGTCTAGCCGAGGAGTTTTCTAAGAAAGAACACTGTTTCAGTGCTTAACTGATCTGACAAGAAAGCATTTACAAAAACCTGAAACTGCCTTGCAACAACATAGTTCCCACTTCCCTCTCTGTTCTCTTTGTATAGTCAGCTTTCATAGCTGAACTTCTCAATTTCATTCTAAGGCCATATTCTTCTTAATAATCTTAACTGACTTATTTCTCACTTGCTTTTCCACTCCAATCAAATATAAATTTTTCCTTAGTCTTCCCTTTTCCCTATACATGCAGAAAAGGGAGTAATACAAGAGTTGTAGGATATAAAACCAGAGAAAAACTTCACCATTGTAAATATTTGCTAATTCTGCATCTTCTAAAATATTTATTATGGATCAGACTCTTGCTTGAATGTGAAAGAATTTGCACGCCTATGTAGTCTCCATGTCATTTGTTAGCTTCCAGGTTCTTTTACTCCTTTCACCCAAGTCCTGCATGCAAATCTTTGTTCTTTTACTACTTTCACCCAAGTCCTGCATGCAAATCTTTCTTTTAGTCCTGTTAATAGTAATCCTAAGAGTTCCATAACTGCAGTCTTAACTGTCTTTAAAATGTCTCTTAACTTTTGCTCTACTTCTTCCTAGACAATGTCCTGCTGGTTTTGTTAAAGAAAAAAAATAATAAATTTTCTTTAGTATAATGCAGTTGCCCTGTTTCTGCCTGCAAATAAGGATCTCTGTGATTTCCCTTGTGTTACCTCTTAAATTACAAGTTGCCTCTAAATATCCACAAAGCTCCACTGTTTTAATCCAGAACTCTGTAATAACTCTTTTACCATGATGCTTACAGAAAACTTTTGATGTCAGCAGGCAACAAAAGGTGTAAGACTGATACTTTTTGTGTTCTTTTTTATCCTTCTTGTATATTGGCTATGTATGAACTAAAAATACTTCAGGCTCTCCTTCAATCCTGTTAATACAGCATGAATTCACTTTATGCAGCATGATCCTACTACAGTAAATGTGATAAATTCCTGATGTATACCCATGGAATGTTCACAGCAAGTTTCAGGCTGGGTAAGACTTTAATGTTAGAGATTAATGTTAGAAGATTATTAATTCTTACAAACATGAGAAATTCAAACCATCTGGTTACCTCCTTGTACTCAGTGTTCTAAGCAGTGTTGCATTGATTCCACATAATGTTCCCTGTACTTCAGTGTAATCTGAGGTGATTTGACTCAGGTGACTGAAGCGGCCCTCTCTTAGCTCAGCCTTCTTCCTTGCTGTGTCATGAGAAATAGCTGGACACTGAAACCACAGAGACAGACTTCATATACAAGGACGGAAGTAAGAAAAATAAGAGGAACTCAAATGAGACGAAATCTCATTTTTCTCAGAAGGGTCTGAGTGCCACAAGAGTTACTAGTAAGACTGCTCTCACCTCCAAGTCACTGCTTTGAACTAGCTTGAACAATCAAGGAAAGTCTTTGCTTTTTATCAATCTTCCAATATAATCTATAAGATGAATATGTAATGTAGTCAACAAGAAGCATGAAGTATCACTATCATAAGATGCAGCATTTTGGACCAAATCTATGCTAGGTCTTAGGTTTGGCTGGGATTCAGTACTTTAGGAGATGAGAATATCCACTGTCCATTGGCTGAATGGGCCTATTAGAATCCCTGTAGTTTTGTGATAGAGGAGGTTAGCACAGATGAAGTGGTAAAGCTTGCTACATTGATAGGCCTGATGTGTACCTGTCAAAGGAAGAAGTGGTCAACCATGTCATCAGCTTATACTTCTACATTGACTCTTACGGACCCAGTTACATCACGGCTGTGTTGCCAAAAATATTAAATCAGTGGTTTTTTTATCTGTGCATACCAGCGTTTGCAAGAATTAGCTCTACTTGCTCTGTAGAAAAGTGAAATTAGTTAAGGTTGCTGTTTTGGCATCTTTTACCACTCCTCAAACAGCCCTCAAAAGAAACATAATTCTTAAAAATGACTGACTATTGGAGGCAGCCATCCAAGGCCATTAATATGAACATAAGAGGACGGTTCTAGCTCCTTGGTGGACTGCATGTTTTACAAGTACTTCAGAACTGCAGTTGTGAGTAAAAAGCAGCGGAGAAAATGTGAGAACTGAATATTGAGGCAGAAAATTCATGCTATCTACTGTCAAAGCACAGAAGTAGAATATAGATAATGTGCTGCTTTTTGGTCTGTTGACCATAAGAAACATTCTCATTGTTTAGTTAACTTAGTTTAGGTCTCTGTACTAAGTACTGTAATTTCAGTGGAAGAGCAGCACCTGCTGCTACCTCATGGTAGTAAATGAGTCTGAATCCTCAGAGTAACAGCTTTCAATTCAAAACTGCCTTAACTAATCATTTCACTATTCCCTAGAATGTATTTACCAATCTGTGGATGTTACTAGTTCCCTTTTTAAGATTCCTGGATGCTGGGCAGGATGCAGCCTGAGCAGCAAAGTTCACTTGTCTGTGAGTGACAGGATAAAAAGAAAAAAGGTCTGACTCACTATTCCTTACCCATTGTCTTAAAAAAAACAAAAAAAACCCCAAACAACACTGCAGTAGGCAGTATTGCACAGATTATGTATCTGGCCACTGATCCCTTTATAGTCTGTCCTGGGTTAGGCATAGCTGAGCATAAGGCACTTAACATGCAGTCAGTGCTCCCAAAAGGCTTGTTGAATAGCAAATGGCACAAAAAAGGACTGCTTCATTCATGAGATGGATGATACACGCACAGAGATGGGTAGGGGTTTAACCCAATTCCTAAGAAGAAGATGGATTATAGCTAGGTATAGGGCACAGACTGCTAGAAAAGATATAGGGCATAGGTATAGGGCATAGGTATAGGGCACAGACTGCTAGAAAAGAAAATTCTGGTCAGGTAGCTTGTACTAAAGTTTATCTGGGTCTTTTCCCAACCTGTAAGTTGTGAAATGCTTGGTTCCTTGTGGCCTAGACTTGACTCTAGTTCAGTTGCAGTGCTCATGTGCTTATTATCTCCTCATCTGTTCTGTGTTGTTGAATAGTGAGTGACTCCTATCTCAAGAACATATTGGGAAATACAGCTTCACTTTTTTATGCAGTAGATAACTAAAGTTGCTGCTTTTATTGTGAAATAATGCCACATTGCTATATTGAATATACTAATGGCAATTAAAGAGCCATTAGTGGGGTGAAAAAAGAGTGGTAGGTGAATGGGGTAAAGTCTAAGGAATTTCATCTGCTGCTTACTCTTTGCTGCAAACAAGGTCTTGCTAAAGTTTTATTTACTTTAATTTCAGTGAAGGAGTCCTATTGATGGAAAGCCCTCTGTGGTGTGGACTTTTCTATTACTGAGAAGAAAAAATGACTTTTTCATAACTAGCAGGAATAACAAATACATATGCAACGTCTAGAGAAATATTCTTACGTTAACAGGTAAGGATTTTACTTCCCCATGTTTATTTCAGTTTACAAGCTAAATTAATACAACTCAAATATCCTTCATTGTTACATAATCAGATTTTGAAAATTAAGTTCTAGTTAGTATTTGTAAAGTCTTTACATTTGTAATGTAAAGATGAGTAACATATTTAGCAGCTGTCCAGAACAATGTACAAGAAACTACATTATGTTTCTTAGTAATCAGTAGTTATCTTGATCTTATTACAAATCATTGACTTAAAAATAAGCAAGAGTAAACATAAAAAATGTTAGGCACAATTGAAATAAAAAAAACTTCAAAAGCAAACACTCAATGCCATGCAGTTTTTACACAGTGAGTTTGCATACATTCACAAAACTAAAATAAGGTCCTTGCAAGTGCTAAATGTATTGGTTTCTTATGGCAAAGTCCACTCTATTCTACAAGTGAAGAAAAAATAATGCTTTTATTTGCAAGGTGAAGTTCTTATGATATTAGACACTTTGTACTGCTACCATAATTTTCTTACACATAAAAAATAGTATCAAGGATCTCTCCTTCACTCCCACCAGAGCCTGATCCAATTCCTCCATAATTTAATAGACACCTTGGAATCTTAACTGAATCAAACTTTTTGAGGATACTCATAGTATGTATATTTAATATAGTTTAATTGCCACTGAAGTATGCAAGGTATTTGACATCAAATATAGCAAGAAGTCTGTAACTATGTTTGCCATACAACACAGAATTCTTGTACCTCCTGTTTTTTCTGAAGAGGCATGTCACACTTCACATTTTATTTGTTAAAACCTATTAACACAAGATAATTCAGTAAATGAGCTTGACTGTGTAAACAACCCTTATTACTTTCAAACCTAAATAGTTTTATATTTTCCATCTACCCAAAAGGGCTTTATGTGTCATTAATATACTTTAAAACCATTCTTACCCATATCAAGAAATTAAGTAAATTCTCTTAAAACTTTATACAAGGATTTTTGAGCATCTAACAATTTTTTCTGAAGGAAAACTTAGTTTTAAACTTTCAAAGCTTCTGTTTTCCACATACAATCCTTTTCTGTTTTCTGCACACAGACTTTCTAGAAATCACAAATAATTTTAATGGAAAGTAAAAATGCTGCATTCCTTACACTTTGAGCTTCTAGCCACCTTGCTGAAGTTCTCAGCACCAGTGAAATAGTGCTAATTTCATGATGTGGATACTAACTTAGGAACCGAACTAGGTTGTCAATGCCAATTCTTTATAACACACAAAACAAACCCCAATAACTTTTACCTGTCTCTAGCTTTACCTGGATGGCTTAGTAAATGAAACTGAGAGTATGAGGAGAAAGGACTACTGAAGGAATGACACAGAACAACATTATTCACTAAGTCTATGTTCCTTGTCAGAGATTTTCTGTGCTTACTAAAGTATCTTCTTGTTTGGTTACAACCAAACTTTTTTTCTTGTCTTCCTCTGTTACAGTCTGACTCATCTGTTCAAACAGCTTTGATATCTTGGCAAATCTCAGGTGATTTTGAAATCTTCGTGCAGCAAAAGCATAAAGTAGAGGGTTAATACAGCTACTGATGAATACAAGAGCTCCAGAGATGTACACTCCTCTGCCTACAATTTCATCCAGTGCCAAAGACATTTCCTCGTTAGAGAGTTCTATCTGAATTGAAATAATATCTAGGATGTTAAAGAGATGATGAGGGAACCAGCATAAAATGAATGCCACCACAATGCTGGCAATGAGCCGTTCTGATCGCTGCTTGGTTTGGTAAGTCATTCTGCTTATTCTTCTTGCAACACACAGGTAACAAGTGCAAATAATTAAAAAAGGGATTACAAAACCTGCAAGAGTCTCCAGCAAAAGATATGACACTTTCTGTCTATTAGAAGAGTAGTTGCGACATGTGCATAGTAGTCTACCGTTCATTTCTTCTGTCTCTTGAAATGGAATGACAGAAATGCCAAAAGTAATAGACAGGAACCAAATGAGGAACACGATTAAAGAAATCTTTTCTTTTGTTTTGTATTTTTGAATTGTGAAAGGGTAAAACACAGCCATTAACCGCTCCAAGCTCAGTGCTGTAATTAGAAATATACTAGCATACATGCTGCAGTAAATAATGAAAACTAGTATTTTGCAGAAGATGACTCCAAAAACCCATGAGTCAGCAAAGGAGTAAATCCAAACTGGTAAAGTAATCAGTACAAGGACATCTGCAATGGCCAGGTTCAAGATCAGCAGGACTGAAGGAGATACTTGCTTCATTTTTGTACACACAGTCCAGATGACGATGCAATTTCCTGGGGTCCCAATAATAAATGACAAGCTCAGTATTATGCAGACTACTGACCTCACAATATTCCACGTCGAGTGGATACTGCTTTCTTCAGCTTGACTCATTCTGGCAATTCTTCAGTTCTCGGTTGCCAATATCCTCAGTGCTTTGCACTCTGCTTTTATTCTGAAGGTGTTAGGGAACTACTCAAGAGAAAGCTCTCTTAACTGATATTCTGTAGACTAATATGGCATATAAGCTCACATCCTAATGCTCACTCTTAAAAACATCTGACCACATATGGCAGTTCCTGTTGTTTAGGAAGACAGTGTGCATTTTTGCATACAAAGCAAAAATAAAAATACAGTGCAGCACCTGACTTTGCTTGTAGTTATACATCCATCATACTTCAGCAGATTTTAAAGCATGTCGGTGGTCTTTCAAAAGTGTCCCTATTTAAAGAAGCTTGCTACTTTGTTAAAGTTACTGATCTAATCAACAGCTATGAGGAGAAACCTTCTTTATGCTATTCTACTCTTGTTTGTATGAATAACTCAACATTTTATTTTATAAAAGCCAAAAAAAGAGGGGTGGCAGATAAACCACAAATGTGCATTACATTTGACACGAAATTCCATTCCAAAGCATAAAAAATTGTGCTTACTGCCTTTATGTCATCTTTTTTAATTCAGCAGAAAACAGTTGATCATGCTTTAGCTGTTTTAATATGCTGGCATAAAGGAAATCAGCATTTGTCCTATAGTGAGACTGTACTGATACAATAAAGTGGGTGGGAGTTGTATTTCTAATGCTCTGGGAAATTGCAGTCCCTTAGCCAAACAGTAACCATCAGAATAGTCTGGATATAGGGTTATAGAAGACATGCTCCGTGTCAGAGAAAAAATATATTATTACGTGGTCCTCCTGCTGTGCCAGCAAGGGGCTATGACTTTATGTCCTAGGAAACTTGGTAGTCAGTGCAGTATTCAAATCCTGTGTGAATCCTAAGTTCTTCAGTGTCTGGCAAAAGAATATGAAAACATTTTGTTATCCTGATGTCAAAACATCTTCTTTTGAAGTTCATTTCTAAAAACTTAAAGGAGGAACTAAAACAGCAGCACCAACAGAAATGTTCAAGAGTCACAGAAGTGAAACTGGAAGGGTATTTTCCATAAAAACATGCACAGAAAAAAAAGAGTTATGCATAGCTCGCTCTCCTAAGTTTAAGACTGTGATACAGATTATTTCCCTAAGTGTTGAGGTAGAATTTTACAAACCTGGCAAATGTAGTGCATAATATTAAGTTAAAAAGCATCTTTCACCACGGAAAAAGGATTGTACCACCCCACCCCCAAATCCGCTTAGCTGTTTTTGATCTCATAAGAGTATATAATGAGATCAAAAGCAAATCCAGAGTAACTCCACTGAAGTAAAGTATTGTATCTTCAAAATACTATTTGTTTAGATTTTGATTTGGATTTAATCTGATTCATAATTCCAGTTCCTTTTAACTACATTTAATACAGACTGGGTAAGGAAAAAACCCAAACCAGTTCTTTGTATTCTAAAGTGAATTTCTGAAAACCACTCGTGAAAATCAACTAATGAAAGGAAGTGCTGGGCAATGTCTCTTCTTCTAATGAAATCACCTTTATACACATCATTATTTCTCCAGAAGTAACTTTGGAAGGGCTCTTTATTAACTTATTGCCAGTGGCACATCTAGATTGAACTAAGTTGCAGATTTTTATTGAAAAAAAAGCCCCAAAAAAATTCAAGGAGAAATGCCCAGTACCTTTTGTCACCCGATGCTACACGGACAGGCAGGTTCTTTTAGGTAAAGTCTGAATCTAGATTATGATTATTGTATCACATGCTGATTATTAAGAATTTGACCTGATCTGCAGAGGGCCCAGGTGACTAAAAGCCTAGGTAACTAAAGACTCCAGATAGTAAGAAAGCTATACTGATTACTAGAAATTCTGCTTAACTGAAAGCTATGATAATTGCTAAAAATTCTGTGTAGCAATAAGCTATGCTAACTGCTAGAAACTGTAGATAACAATAAGCTATGCTGATAATTAAAATTTTTATGTCATAATAAAGCTCTAATTGTAACTACAACCCTGTGGCCAGTCCTCATTCTACCAAGGATCCCTAAAAGAACCTGTATGTTCCTGTAGCATTGGGTGACACCTCTGTAAGATTTTCCTCTTTAAAACTTTACTTTTGGTGGCAAAGAGCAGTTGTCTGTACAACTGTTGGTATCAGTATTAGTTTAGTTCTAATCCAGTGGTGTATGGATCTGGTTGAACTTCTGAAGCATCTGTCCTTACATTTTTCAGAAACGTGTTTCCTCACTTCAGTCGAAGTTAGCTTGCCAGATGGCCTCTGCCTCTGGCTGTATCTTTCATTTAAACAAGGAAACAAATGAACCTCAGAATTGCAGCAACAGCCTGGGATTTCTGTTTCAAAAAAGATCCCAGACAGGTGTTGAAATGCTAAGACTCCCTTGAGTAAGACACTGAAGACAGGCTATTAGATGTAATATCATAGATATTAGAGTTAACATTAGCTAGGGAGCATGTTTCTGAAGAGCTCTATGTGACTGCTGGATCGTTATGAAAACTTCAGACTGTTTGTAAGCTGTCTTTAATATTCTCTAAAAGCATCTGATTTATTTGTCAAATTTATACTAGTAGCACACAAACTTCATGGGAAATTTAACGAATATTTCCATTAACAAGGGGAGCAGTGTAGTTATGTTCAATAACATGCTAAACACAACAGTGGCTAAACAACTCGGTATCTTATTCTAGTGACCAAATGTGGGTGGGGCTTTTGAAGTATGAACATGCTTCTGACCACATAAGCTCTGGTCTAATTCTATCAACAGCAGTGAAATTAGGCTGCATTTCTGTGTTTAAAAAAAAAAAAGGTCTAAATCTGTGAAGTTTGTTGTGTGCATGCATATTATATGTAGTGCAACAATTCAGTCATTAACACGGGAAGCTTTCTTAGATTGGCAAATAACTTCTGAAAACTTTCCAAGCTCAAGAAGTCTATGGTACTGCTAAGAAACATTTTGAATAGAATTTGCTTTGGCTTAACTATTAAGGGGGTGTTTCATTCATCATTCAAATGATTTATCTTTCTTTGTATGCATGCATGAACTTCTCTCTGGTGGATGGTTAGCTGTACCAAAAAGACGTTTTAAATCCTCTCTAATTTTTGTCTTTAGAAGGATCCCCTGGATGTTTGTCTAGTAAGTGATTGTAGAATAACGATCACCAAGTAGCACGTATCTGCTGAGACGCTGGAAACTGATGTTAGTAACCTTGTTTGCCTGCTAATGCTGAAGGGAGGAAGTTGCTAGCCTAAACCCCTTAGTTCTTCAGCCATTGAAACAAGGTAGTATTTCATAGAATCATAGAATAGTTTGGGTTGGAAGGGACCTTTAAAGGCCATCTAGTCCAACCCCCCTGCTGTGGGCAGGGACATCCTGAACTAAATCAGGTTGCTCAGAGCCCCGTCCAACCTGACCTTGAATGTTTCCAGGGATGGGGCATCCACCACCTCTCTGGGCAACCTGGGCCAGTGCTTCACCACCCTCAGCGTAAAACATTTCTTCCTTATATCTAGTCTAAATCTACCCCCCTTTAGTTTAAAGCCATTCCCCCTTGTCCTGTTGCAACAGGCCCTGCTAAAGAGTTTGCCACCATATTTTTTATAAGCTCCCTTTAAGAACTGATAGGCTGCAATTTGCAGGGTTGGTATAGCTGTCTTTCAACAAACTCAATTCAATGGTGCTATTAATGACAGTGTGAAAGTGGCACACTTTGCCTTGATCAGAGAATTATGGGCTAGTTCATAGCTGATCTGAATGTTGCTTTCTTGATTACAGCAGGGTCTCCTATATAAATGGGATCCATGGTGGTACACAGCAGCTAATAATGTCTCTGCTCTGCAACTACTGCAAAGGAAAGTGCAATGTAGGAAAAGACACGTACCAGACATTTCTAAGCTCTTGCAAACACTGTTTGTGACAGCAGCCCATGAGGTAGCAAGTACAAATGAGAACACTCTCAGTGCTTCTTTATCACCAGAGAAAATAACTTAGTGAAGAGCCACCCTGGGATCAGTTCCAGAACATAATAAAAGATGTGTACCTTCCACTATAAATAGAAAGTTTGAAATATTCTGTGCCATGTGCATTGTTGTTAATCAGTCTTCTAATAATATTACAAAATGATATCCCTTAACCAGCTCAGTAGCAAATGACAATAGTTTTATACGACTGGCCAGAGAAAAGATTTCCTGTTTGTTATGTTCAGGGAAAACTGCTTTAGAACTTGTGATAGGAGGAGTGTTTACAAGGCACTGGTTGTATGTGCACCAATACATGCTTACATATTGGTACCTTTCTTACCCTAACAGAATGATCACAGACAATCAGAATGCGTTTCCAGCAGTTGTAAAACTATTCAAGTATATGCTGAAATATTTTCCTTGTACAGACATACCAGGTTCATGTGCGTAGAGGTGCTAATTAAGACAGTGGAGAACTATATTGATAATTCTGACTATAAGCAGGAATATGAATAACAATTATGCAGAGATTATGGAAAAAAATAAAAATATATTTTCTCAACACTATTATGAATGTATATAGTTTTAATTTCCTGTTATTCATAGTACAAGCTTTCAAACAGTAAATGTATAGATTTGTTACAATTTAAGGTGAGACTTTGGCCTGTTCTAAATCAGCTATCACTAAGTTGCTATTTGTATGTACACAAACTGTTGCTAGCCAAAATCCTTATCTACACAAGCATATCTGGCACCACAATTGCTACTGGGTAGATCAAATACATTGTTTACATACTCTTCCTTTTGAGTAATAAATTAGTGATGACAAATACTGCTTGGATGATTTGCTGCCAAAAGTTACTTGATTTTTCTTTATTGTTTAGCTAAATCTACGGCCATTCCTACCTCATTTGCTGGGATTGCATGTAAATATTATATTACTATAGGATCAACGTCTCTTTTTGTTATTCAGCAGTGTAATGAAAGAAAGTCTTTGGCAGTGCATCTCTTAGTGAAGGACCTGTGATTAAAAAACCCAGACCCATACTTTGCTGTGCATGTGCTGTTGTTTTGCACGTAAACCAAGCATACACT